CCTGTTTTCTAATACATGCATTTAACGATGCTTAAATAAATAGAAGTGATTACATGCAATACATAGAGCTATTTTCTTGGTAACATAACTACCCAAAAATTTGTATTCTTAGCAGTTTTCTTATTATCACTATCATTATTATTACTATAATTATTATTATTTTTCCTTTGGGTTCCTAATAGAACATAGAGATTCAGTACCACGTCTCCACAACACTCTCTTCTCTACAATCTTTTCAACCTGGCTCCACCACTGACCACAAACTCCCATTTCCTCCTCACATCATCTCCTCCAATGCACCATCAACTCACACACCAAACTCATCTTTTCCCATCCATGTTCCACTCGAGTGTCTGGCACCTGATGTCCCCAGTCGGCCGGCCTTCTCAGTGTATGCCTAATCCATCTACACTTCCTCCCAGTGCATATTTCTTGAGTGATGGGTTCTTGGTTGGTTCGTTGCCAGCCACAGTGAGTTGCTTGTTGCTTGTTGCTTGTTCTTGTTATTCTGGCCATGTGATCTTCGGTACCGAATGAGTGTAGGCAGCAGTTGTTGATGAATATTTGTAGTTTGTTGGAAATGCCTTTCGTAACGCGTCAAGTCTCTGACTCAATGTTGGATTCATTATGTCAGCATTTCGAAAATTGTGATTGAGGCATACTAACTTGAATGTACGAATGTGGTATTTGAAATGATGCAGAATGTTTCTAGTCTTTATTGCAGCTGTTCATAGTTTCCAATAAACCTGGTGTCACTGGAAACACGTTTATCCAGGGTAGGAAGAAAAACGCATAAACTAGATCTAAGGCATTAGTTTTCAATTTTATTTTCATTGAAAAAGCTATGCAGCACTGCTTCATGTCTTTGTCCTAAATCTATGCACTCACCAATTACATTTAGTGTGAAGGAATAAGTTTACCTTGCATCGTTGGAATCGTACATAACGATAAAAAGTACAGATTTAAGTGAAAAAGCTGGTAATACCATTGTTCATACAGGAAAGTTGGTTCAAGCTGAAAACCACTTGGTGGATACTTTCACAGCCATCTTACAAGCAGTTTTTTATGATTAGTTTAGGTTTCATCGAAGAAACTGCCCTTAACTGCCAAGAATGACAGCAACGGTCTAGAACTAGGCGACGATTAGATATACCCCGAAGATTTACAGAAGTATTTGACGTCACTGTTAAATTAGTCTGAATTTGTCCCACCGAATGATTTCTGATGGTGTAGGAGCACTTCTCTGAAATTCCTGCCATGTATCGTTTTTAAGATGTAAGTAAGTGCATGTATGTAGGATAACTGTTCTTTATTATTTTGAGGACAGGAATATCAAGGAAATAATCAGATAAAAGCTTGATGAATATTCGATGGGGTACTCAGTGACTATGATTACGAAGCATTTTTGCATTGTATATACGTAAAAGGACAAAATACAGGGAGAAAAAAATAGCCATGTAGGATTGTAGTCTATATAACCTTGGGAAAGTATAGCAGGTCCATGCAAACTGTTTGATATTTCGGGATCTGTTACAGTTGTTACAGTTAATGACCAAAAGCTGATAAACAGCAAACTAACCATATTCTGTTTTAAAAAGTTAAAATATCTGTAGTACAATGCACTCCAGGAAAATCATGACTAAAACTTTAAAGGAATTTTGATATTCTTCACGTCGTATATTTTTTTGAATTTGTCAGGAGATGGAAAATGATTTATGTCTGTTTATTTTATTGTTTTATTTAATACACATAACTATCAATATGAATGAAATGAATAGGGTGTATCGAATACAACCAGTCAGATGACCAGGTGTAATTTACCCAGATTATGTGATTTCTCGTCAGATGACAAAACGTACTTTTAACGAGTATACTTTGTCTCTTCTTTAAATATTTCTTGTTTAAAAGTCAACTACTAATGCCATTCTGATCAATTTCTATATTACAGAACACTATTGTACACTGAATTACTAAAAGTAGAGAATCATACGAAAAGTGATATGGAAAGGGTTGACTAAAGTATAGTAAAAACTAAAAAGAGTCTTTCAAATGTCTTGGGAATTGTCATGGTTGGTAATACATAGTTGAGTGCTGTACTGTAGAGCGCTTCATGACATAGTGGTCTAATAATAAGAGAAGCTGTGAACTCCAGGCGGATATAATTACTGCAAACTGTGTAAATATAAGTGTAGAACTGATGAGACTTGAATGGGTTCAGAATATTATAACTTCAGATTTTAACAAAAAATAAGGAATGGTTGTAAACTGCTGGATAATGTGAGTTGTTGGGAACCACTAATGACGATCTGTAGATTTTATCAGCCAGATCACATCAACGTTAACACTGGACAGTCGCTTTGGTCATCAGCAGTGTAACCAGAAAACTTTAGCTCATGGAGCCAAATTAGTTCTGGTTACCTGAATCTGACTAGCTGACTTCGATGATCAGTTTGCAAGTGATTTACAAACTACACGGTCCACATTGACATTTCTCATATCCGAGTTCTTTTTCAACTGCCAAACTGTCGTTAAAATCAACTGGCAAAGATGACAAGGCGTGATCTCTTACACAAAAGTATCTTAAAGTAATGCTATGCATCACTGAAAGACTAAAGTATTTAGAAAGCAGTCAGACTGCAATGCAGATTTCTCCAGCCAAAGTGGTCATTTGATTAAATTTTTTATCCCTGATTTCTGTGATCCACCAACATCCGAACACATTGAATCTCTTTACAAGTTACAAATCGGTGGATAACCGTTAACAAAGACTAAAACAGTTAACTGAATAAGTTAACTTTTTGTTATGGTTATTTCATCAGTAATAGACAATTTCAGAACTGTAATGGTTTAGTTAGTAGTCGGATTCAACAAATGTCATATTGACAGCAAGAATAAAATCCGCAACGGATAGAGCATAAAGAAGGCCTAGAAAAGTTATTTTATTACTTCTAATAGGCTGTTGGGAAATCTAACTGCTTAAGTATTCTGTATGAAGTTGCGCTACACAAGGTGAGTAGATTGGAATATAATCGAACCTAAGTGGATCTTAAACCTACAGCTACGATCATGTAGTTACGCAGAGGGGAAAAGAAAGTTTGCTTATTTATTTGCAGCTGTTTTCTTAATTTTTATGAGGATTTTTGGGTATAGCGACATTTGGAGTTATTTATAACAAATGAGTAAAAAGAACACTTTAAATAAATGGGTTTTTACCCTGAAATATTAGTAGATTGACTGATAATAAACGATAACATTTTTGAAAGGCTGGATGCTGTGTGCCTAAAGGATTACAGAAGATGTGACACGGCATCTAGTAACTGCAATCTACTAATGAAGACAAGGAAATAACATATTAGAAACAAACTATGGTAAAATAAAAGTAATGCGTTTTTGTTAAGGAAGCAGACCTTTGAAATGGTGGAGAATATTTTTAGCTCAAGTGGATAGTCTTGGTTGTATTATGTTCTCTGAGCTGGGTTATTTAATCGTGAAGCTTTCATCGTCTTTCTAGATGACATCATCGGCACTAATTTCAGCCACTGGGTCGGTTTCCAGTGGTTCACAATTCCCAACTTCTGTCAGTTCACTACATAGTGCGACTCGTGTCAGTCCGTGATGAATACTACTTCTAAATTAAAAATCCCCGCTCATCTCAAAAATAAAAGAAACGTTTTAAAAATGGAATTGGGGTAGGATAAATTCAATGAATTTGCTTTCGTCTTTACCATTTCTAAGCTAATGGAAATACTGTTGGTAATGACATCACCAATATATCATGTGCTATAAGTTCTAGTGATTTTCATTTGTTTTAGTAGATTTCGTGACTAAATAGTTATTTTTATCAATTACGAGACTTAATAAGTTGTTGAAAAATACCTTGGTAATAAGGGATAACCGTGGTTCGAGAACATAATAAAATTAATTTCCAAAGTCATCAATGGCTCCTTTTTTTAAAATTTGCTTAATAAGCAAAATGATAAGCCTTACAAATTCTCCTTTGTTATCTTTACTTCGAACGCTTTCAACTGTTTCCAAACAAATTTGAACTAATCTTCTAATAAAAACAACTGCAATGATTGACATGTGACATTTAAATGCAACCGGCTAGTAAGCGTGTTCAATTTCAATATTTTAAAGGCAGAAGACGTATGAAAAGGCTGAAGAACAATTTGCTTATACAGAACCCAAAAGTAATCTAACAGGTATTAAAAAATATACAGGTAACTTTGTAACCATCAGAAGATTTATGCATCTTTTGAAGGAAAAAACCTTGTTGTAAAGATGATTATGTTAACCAGATGATAAAATTTTAGTCCGTTCATCGTTGTTCCTTCTTCAGATCCAAGAATCCAAAGTGTAGTATGTTACTCATTGAGTAACTGTTTCAGATTTATAGCAATAAGCGTATTAATCAATAACTGTTTCTGCAATGAGCAGATACCTTTATTTAGTGCAGATTTAGGTAGATGGGGTCGAGTAAAAGCAGACAGTATTAGAAGCTTGCATTCAACAATATCAGTGTCCATCTGCACAGAAAGTAGAGTGTTGTAGCATTCTGATACACCAGTAATATATGAAATATGAAAACGAAAATAAAGAGTTAGGGAGGCTGTAGTTAGTTTGATTTTAATGAAGCATGAATGTTCAGAGGTAACATTCTTCTTAAAAACTATTTTACTCCTTGAAAAATTTCTTGGGGTGTTATAATTTCATGCTAACTATTTTTTCAAAACTTAGTAACTATAGCTTAATGGAATTAGGTTATATCAGTTTACTGGATAGTATTAGTCTTTTGAATATTAAAAGCAGTATGTGAAGGCAGTGACTCAAAATGACATCCAAGATGCCTAACAACAGCTAATTGATATCAGCCATAATGATAGATAACAAAGCTATTCTAGGAAATTCACGGTCTTAATGGATATAAATTCATATTTCTTTTATATCAGTCATGATCATACTGACTATTTTGGTTTTTATTGATCTAACTACCTTTATAGAATTGACACAGTTATGACTGACTTAGGCTGGAAACGTACATTTGATCGTTATGCTGATTATACTCTACGTTGGACTGAAAATGCTGCTCAGACTAACTATACAACATTTAGAGAAGGTGAACAAATTGTGAGTTTTTGTGAGTACCTACATTTTGCTCTAAAATTCAATGTATACAATACATATTTTATATGGATGTAGTAGAATAACTCCAAATGATGAAGATCTGTTTCACAAGCTTACATAACTATTCACTGAGGGTTATCTGTATTAACATACTCAAACGGTATTCATATATGCTGTTTGAAGTCTTAAATAAAATCCTGTACTTGTATGATTTAAATGTATTAGAAACTTATACCCAACTAATCAGAACAAACAAAAGAAAACTGAATTTTTTTATGCGATTAATCACATGATGTTTTTACTAATTTTTAAAGAAATTTAATAAAATAATTTTAATTTTTTAAGTCTTACAAAATCCAATACGAAAAGCCTTAAGACAGTCTGCTCAGTTGGTTGATTGCGAGAAATACATTCGTTTTGTAACTTATATTTCCTTGAATCACCTAACTTTATCAGTTTTTCATCCTTCTACTCTAGAGTTACTCAAGTATGAGCATAACAAAATTTGAGTTAGAGTTCTTCATCTCAGGGGCCATTTGTAACCTTTTTCGACGTCTGAAATCGTAGCAAACAATGGATTTATTACCGTATGTAGTTATTAGCAGTTACGTGGAATTTTAAATACTAGGCTGATTCGTATTTTTTAAGTGAAGCTAGATATTACAATAAGACTCTTAAAATCAGCCCGAATCTGATGGAACTGGAATTCTGGATCCACTAATCGGTGGTGTAATATCTGAACTGCCGAATTGCAAATACGGTAAAAAGCAACGAAGGACAAAAAAATCTGTTATATCTTGCAGATGGTCCATTTAAGTGTTAAATTCTCATCTAGGATTGGATTTCCGTTCGATAATTTGGTGGAATATGAGTTTTTTCACTCTACGAGAGAAGATAATTATAGTTTATGTAATATAATTATTCATTTCTTCCACCCCATGGTACTGGTGTCAGTTACCGTTGAGCTATTTTCAAAAGCAGTGAAAATGACCTTTGGAATTTAGATCATCTTTACCTTCACAATATGTCAACGTACCAGTTATACAATTTTACTAACAATGTCTCTTTAATAGCAATGTTCTTTCTTATTATCATACAGTAAACATTATTTACCCTTTTGGGTGATAAGTTTCTGTGGGAGATTATTCATATTTAACCTACTTATCAAATCATTATTTATTTCATTTTAGTTACCAAGCTCTCATTTTCATTGCATTTTGTGCTTTCAGAAGAGTCTGACACTAAAAGTCAAGTAATGCAACACACAGTCATTTTCTTCAAGTGTTTTTGTGTAAGCACATAGTCGTTTGCGAACTTTAGGTTTTTGGATTGTAAGTTTGCTCATCAAGAGCATTGACTCACAGATCAAAGAAAATAATTCAGTACCTTGATTTCTTGTGTCTAAGTACACAATTCATTAGAAAGTATATATATATATATATATATATATATATAAACTGTTATCCTCAGTAACATTTCCAAGTTACCAGTTTGTTAATGTTAAACGCAGTTCTATTTCTTTGCAGCATAAGCTAACGCATCATAAGAAGTAGAAGTTTAGTAAAACTATGATACCGTAATAAATGTTCCTGTTCCATAAATATTCATCTTTAAATATGTCATACTTTCGAACGCTAACGGTTATATATACCGAACGATATAGTACGCACTTAGTACGCAAGAGCCACTGACTGCAACTCCGGGATGAATAGAGAGAAGACCGAAGCTGACAGATGTGAGAGTTTATTACAAATAAGTTCATCGTCTAGCGTTTTAAAATAATAAAAATCAATCCAAAACACGTGAATAGGTATACACATGAAACGACCTTGTCCGCAAATGATGTGGGAATGACACGTTAAAATGTTCAGATCAATAATAATGTTTTATACAAAACTGAGGCATCATAACAAAATATATATAAGATTCCCCAATAGCATTGAATAACTCTATGAATATTCTTAGTAAATTCAAAAGAATAAGGAATTACTAAGTTTGCACAACAGTATGAATTTCTTGTCTCTAGAAATTCCAGTCCTTCTAGTTCAGTAGTTGATGAGGCTTTTCACACTTAAGCTATGACGCTTTAAATCTAGTACCATTAAATAGTAGGGAGTTAAAGGTACGGCAACGTATATTAATGGCTTAAAGAGAAAAAATAAAGTCATTTTTAAACTGTAGAAGAATTTCAGTGATGTGAATTGCTTATTACCATAGTAATTGTTTGAATGATTTAAAGCAAAAGTTGAAATCTACTTTCAAACGATTAACATTATCATTCAAGAAATAAATCTTGATATCATATATCCTGTATTCTCGAAAGTTTTTCTTTGGAATGTTTTACAAATGGTACTTTTGAAGATATTATCAGTGTTCATTGCAAGCTAATCTATTTCAAGGCACTTTTTTTAAGTACTTCTAAATCCAGTCACTTGATAGAAAAGCACAACCGATGAGATGCTCTTTTGAAGAATGCCGTCTTGAGGCTTTACCTAGCTGGTATTATATACATCAAGTTTCTTTTGAAAAATGCGCAATGCCTAACATCAATGCATACAAACGCTTATGTTGTTTTTCTTATTTCAATGCAGATTATAAAATTAATCACTTTCACTACAATCTGGGCAAAAAGAGGTTCAGAAACTTGTAACTTTCTGAAAAGGTGCTGTCAGTGCAGATTCATATCTGTGCCACTAACGACACATATGCTGATATCAGAAGCAAAGACATGTTACGGCTTTTACAGTCTAACGAAGAATAGTGTTCGTTTATTTTAAGTATCTAATTTAATAAGCTGAACTCATCGCCCTGTTGCTCAGCAAAGAAGTATAATGTTATCTTACTTAAATTCTGAAGTCTTTTATCTTACAAAGGTATTTATGACAGCATCGAAATCCTTCCACTCTGAATTGTCACAGTTGCTTGCTGAAGTATGTTTAGATATATGGTGAGGTTTACGCTTATTTGTATGCTCGACTTACTGTGATGGTATACTGGAGATAAGCAACCGGACAAATCAGTTTTCTATTCGGCACTGTTGCTCGCACATTTCCTTAAGTTTTTATTTTTTGTGAAAGCTAGTTTCTTGCAGAAGACCCCCCCCCATCTTCGAACAACTCGAAGTGTAAATGTGTATGCACGAATTTGGAATGTTAAAGAGTATATTCATAGCTCAGGCTGATTATCTTGGTTGTGTTGTGTACTCTGAGAATACGAAACAACCAAGAATTTATTCTTCGCTCACTCTCTCTGCATATCGCAGAGCGTCACGTACCAGTAGCAGGCTTACAGCTTATGGAATTGTATTATATAACGAATTTTTGCTACTTACTTATTAACTGCTTTTCCATTTAGTATTCATTGTGATGTTCTATAGCTTGTTTCTGCTTGTTAAAGTACCAGTTCCCGTGTTTAATGCTTTTAGTGTCTGACGACTGGTGAATTCGACAGAATGTTTAAGTGCCGTGTTTCATTGACAGAATGGTAGTAATCGGAATTTTTGGTTTTTCAATAGGTGAATCACATCCCAAATTGTGGATTACTAACGAACAAACTTGGCTTACTATTAAGTCTCCGTGATTATGAAAGACGCTTCCAGAACAGATACGGAAGACTTCCGGTTATGGTGATGAATGACTTCTTCCCTGTAACATTTATTGTTGATGATCCAAAAGAACGTGAATCTTATTTCAGTTTACACCAAAGTATTAGCCATTTTCCTAAAAATTATTTCTATTTACTTATTTATTTCATTCTTATTATTTTAGAGTTTTATTGGTATAATGAGAATGAGATTTCATGTTACCAGGCTTGACAATCGTCCATGTCATAAGTTTATTTTCGTCTGGTAATCACTTAAAAACTAGATGAATAGTATCTGTTTTTATTACCAGAAGAACTGTACTTCTGTAATTCACTAGAAAAATGAGTTTAACCCCTCTAAAGATGAACAGCCATCACAAATAGAAATCGAAATAAGTCCACGATCAACTTTATTGAACTAGTCTTACATCATTTTGCCGTACAAACCGCTTTCAACTTACTGTGAATGATGTGTTATGCATATTATTATTGTTTGTCCCTTGGGTTCCTAGTGGAACATAGGGATTCAGTACCACGTCTCCACAACACTCTCTTCTCTACAATCTTTTCAACCTGGCTCCATCACTGACCACAAACTCTCATTTCCTCCTCACATCATCTCCTCCAATGCACCACCAACTCCCACACCAAACTCATCTTTTCCAACCCATGTTCCACTCGAGTGTCTGGCACTGATGTCCCCAGTCGGCCGGCCTTCTCAGTGTATGCCTAATCCATCTACACTTCCTCCCAGTGCATATTTCTTGAGTGATGGGTTCTTGGTTGGTTCGTTGCCAGCCACAGTGAGTTGCTTGTTGCTTGTTCTTATTATTCTGGCTATCTGATCTTCGGTACCGAGTGATCGTAGGCGGCAGTTGTTGATGAATATTTGTAGTTTGTTGGAAATACTTTTCGTAAAGTGACAAGTTTGTGAACCATCCATCACATAGAAGCACTGACTTGACTGAATTGGTGTTGAAACTCCGGATGTTGTTCCACATGCTGAGCTGAGTGCAGAAGATCTCCACACTGGTTTGGAGTTAATGAACGCCTGTCTTGTTATCTTTCCGATCCTGGCTTTGATCTCCTCATCTGATACTCTGCCGCCTGTAGTTGGAACAGTGCTGCCTATATAGGTGAAAGAGACTATTTCCTTTAAGTTTCTGTCGTTGATGGTGATTGGAGCTTGTTGGTGTTGTTGTTGTTGTTGGTTGAGTATTATCATCACCTCTATCTTTTCGACATTCACTTGAGGTCCCGTCTTCGCTGCCCTGCCACTTCTGTCAACTTGTTAGTTTTCGCCTGTATATCTTCGAGTTTGCGTGACATTAGACACAAGTCATCGACGAAATCCAAATCTTCTAGGTTCTTTTCGCAGTCCGGCGTATCCCCCTCTTCTCGGTCATCACGATTTGTCGCATAATGCAGTCCACCACAATCAGGAATATCACGGGTGATGGCAGACAGCCTTGTCTTACTCCTGTCTTCATTTGAAGGCGTCACTGATCTTACCATTGTGAATCACCTTGCATGCGGCGTCTTCATATAGTTGTGGTGTGTTATGTAGACCACAAATATTTTCTTTCATTCGCTATTAATTTTTCTGAACAAATACTGGTTGGATTATTAAAGTGGAATGAGAACTTCGTGTACCGACTAAGTAATCTCAGTAACATCACAAGATTCTATCATAAGGAAAGTCAGATTGAGAATTCTAGTCTCTAATAACACAGATAATCTGTTCAGAAACTGCTTCTTGATCATGTAAGTGATTTGTTCTGAGTTCAAGTTAAAGTTAGGTCTCATATGTATGTGTTGAAATATCAAGTTCTTAAATAAGATAAAACCTTTTATTCAAACGATATTTGACCTATTGTTACAAAAAGTTAGAATTTTTTGTTGAGGAGCATTTTCTGTAGATTTGTGTTCAACTACTTTTTGTTTTGAAACTGATTACTGACGTGATCTTTTGGGAATTGTAAAGCGCTTAGTGTTCCTAAGAAACTAGACAAAATATGTCAGTTTCTAAGACATGGAAACTTGTCAAGTCTTAGAATATCTATTGAGATTTTCTGTTATGGTTAATGAGGAACGCGTAATCTAGATACGATATGAACGATAACTAGCTCAGGTAACATAAGAAAAAGAAAAATATTGGACTGAAGAGTTTCCACTTTAAAGGGAAAGTATTAACCTAAGGGCACAACTATTGCGTTTATATACAATACGAGCGTCCTTGAGGTGAAAAGGCGATGTAGCATATTGAAAGTGAAAAACTAGTCAGTGGGTAAACAACCTTCTTCAAGGCAGTAAGAATGAGCAAGATGGCAAAAAGGTGCGAATGAAATACAGATTTCTGACAGGGCAAATTTAAGCATAAAACTTTTATTTTAATAGGATCTACAATTCTCAACGACTCATTGTAAGACTCATTGATAGCCAAGTTCATAGATAATTGAACAGGCATTCGCATCATTTATAAAACTGAAGGTTAACCCAATAACTAAGTACACTTTGTTCTTTGAGTTGATGAACAGGAACACGTTAATCTGTGGGGTTTTTCTCACAGTGTTCGTAAAGCCATACAAATAATAGCGACAACATAAGTAGAAAGGAAATGAACACCTCTATTGTGATACCATACAAGGAAGGAACATCAGAAACCATACGTGGGATTCTCAACAAGGTTGGAATTAGGGTGGCATTAAACCAACAAACTCACTTAGAGGTAAGCTTTGTAGGCTAAAAGATCCCATAGAACCAATTAGGCAAAATAATATTATCTACCAAATTCCATGTAATGACTTTGAGGTCAAATACATAGGTCAAACTAACCGGTCGGGGTCAGTTAGATTAGCAGAACATAGGAATTTAGCTAAACACAGAACGTCAGACCCCAGTGAGATCAATAATCTAGAAAAACACTCGGCCATTGCCTTACATTCATCAACACACAATAAAGTGGGACAAAACCACTGTACTTAAGTCTAATATAGCTAGGTGGAGAGACAGATTTTTTCACAATGCTCCAGCACTTATGCAAGACTTACGGAAAAGGTTGAAGAGCATGAAATAACAGTTATTCCCTGTCCTGAGACTGCTAATAAGTCAATAACGCACTAGGAAATCAAAACCTTAGGCCTGTTAGCTCACTTATATTCAGGCGAAATGTTTAACTATGCATGTGAAGGATATAATGACATCAATGATAGTACAAAATAACACAAAAATCATACAGTAATCCCTGTCAGCCTTCGTAACCTCTAATGGTTGGATTTAATCAAAAAGCCCATGACAGGAAGCAGTTCGTATGAAGTCTATCTAAACTATTCTTAACTTGATCATCATGTCAAGTTTTGTCAAGCACGGTTTCTCAGATAAACACAGAAGACATTTTCAGCTTGAACACTGATGTTACAGACTTATGAGAAGTTTCTTAAGAAAACTTGTTAATAACAAGATCATTTAAATCTTCTTACTCAGTGCTGTCGTGGTGCTGAAAGCTTAGTGTTAGAGTGAAAACTCTGGCTAATCAACATAAATTATGGGTATTTTTAGTGCATACTAAAGATATTTAAAAAGAAAAATATATTTAAAAGTAACAAAACAGATTGAAATAACAATTTATATGAACAAACAAAGAGGATTTATACTGGATGATGACTGTAGGTGAGATGAAAATCTGTACGCGGCCGGATTCGGACCAGCGACCACCGGATTACTGGCTCGGTGCTCTACAAGCTGAGCTACGAGGTTCAACTGCTCACCAGATTTTTATTTCACTTCATTCACAAAGTGGGGTTTCGCCTGACTACCATGAGAATTCCTGATGCGTTACTACCGCTTGATCGTATTCACAATGGTTGCCTAGTCAGGACTCCTCATCGCAATCCAGATGTAACTGAATTAGTGAGGGGCAGCATCATATTGATTATCATTTGACAATCTGAGATAGCCGTAGCTTGACAGACTAGTATTTATACTGGGTTGTGAACGAAGGTGAGATGAAAGTCAGAACCGCAGTTAGCAGTCCGATCTCGTAGCTCAGTTGGTCGAGTACCGGGCAGGTAACCCAGTGGTCACTGGTGTGAGTCCAGCCGCAGTCCAGATTTTCATCTCACCTTCAATCATCACTCAGTTAAATACTAGTATGCCAAACTACGGCTACCTCAGATAGTTAAATGATAAACACAGGGGACATCAAAAGATGAATATACATGTGAAATAATATTTTCATCAAACATATATTTGTAATTTCTAAAATCTTGATACATTTTTGTGAATTGTTTATGAGAGGTGAGGAATCACTTATGTGGATTTGCAAACCCATCAGTCAAAATCAAGGTAAAGGTATATTCTTGGTAAGCGACATTGATGCATTCAAAGAACAGCTACACAAGAGAGATGAAGAAGCACGTAATCAGCCATCTGGACTTTTGCCAAGGATAATTCAGAGGTAATATACTTAATTTAGGTTTGATGATCTATTAAGGCTAATACATTTTTGAGTCTTTACGCTTTTTAAAAGTTTGTATGGTTGCTGTACCTAAGTATCACCATTTTTATGTAGTAACGTTTCGTGACCTTCAATAAAGATCCATCAGTTGAAGAAAAGTGGCGCTTTTTGGAGAAAGCATTTCATGTTTTCTTCCAAATTTTCACAGATGTGACACGTTTATCTTTTTCAACGTTTAGTATGAACTGAGGTTATGAATTTTTATTTATGTTAGATGACATTTCACATTTATGATGATTTGAAAGTGTTCATCAACGATCCAAGTAAATAAGATGCTTTGCAATCTGGTTTAAAAGTAACTGAAGCTTTGCGACCTTACTTCTCAGGTTGATCTTGTGCCAATCATGCAAGTTGTCGATTAAATATCTCGGAGGAAATAATATTTCCTCCAAAATTGATAGATCGAATGTAAAATAAGTTAGATTACCAATCTGATATCCACTCTGAATGTTCTTGACATCTAACTTTGCAAGTCATGTTCCTATTGATTGTAGGTAAGCTAAGATCATAAGCATTAAATTTTCAGAAACGTCTTATTCCTAGCTCTTACAAGATATGGTTTCCTGTAACCCTGTACAAAAAAGTTTAATTTGACTGCTTATCTTTTTTCTTCGTTGATAGCATTGAATCCTGACTTATTGGCCTAGTGTATGTTCTACCGGTTAAAATAGTGGGTTCTGTGTCTAAGTCTGAGTGGGAACAGTAGGAGGGAAGTACATCCAATTGATGAGTCCGAAATAGTATGAAACGCATATCCTTGATTCCAATACTAGTCGCTATCTATTATTATTATTTTTTATTCAAACCTTAAATGCACTGTGACCTTATTACTTTTGACTTTTTTTTTAGTTGATTATGAATATAGTCTCTTGAACAATTTTAGAAAATGTTCCCTATATGTTGTGAAAAGATATTTAGGTTTATTTGAAACTGTCATATCTGGATGTTACGTAGCTAAAATAACAGAATGTTGCATTGTTATACGAAGGATTATATGAAGGATTCGGATTAGTGAAAGCATATAGCTAATGTGGAAAAATAGTAACAGAGAATAAAGGATATAAGATTTTCGCATGCAAAACTAATCTGTATTGTGTTGTATAGAAAGGCTGAAATGCCTTAACTGTTCAAAATCATCTCAAAAGTTCTAAATCCAAAAGATTACTGAATAATTTAACTTCAGTGGAAAGCTTCGCTTTAAAGGTAGTTGAAAATAAGGTGAATCTCTTTGAAAAGTGACTAAAGTTACACCTTTCACGCGCGTTTCCCCTCGTTTCTTAATTTCAGTTGAGGGAATTGTATTAACTCACTCTAAACAAAGGTTGATTCAATTGAGTTTTTTCTGTCTATTCATTATGATTTTAATTTTTCAACGATGCCGTTTAAGTTTAAAATGTTAATAAAAGGTTTATAAATTTGTCATTAGGGAGAGATTGATTATAATAATTTCATATGGTTTTACACAGGGCGGCTACAATTGGCAATTTCCCTACCTGTACACTGATAAATTGTCTGACAAGTGATATCAACTAGTTGTGTATGCTAGATAAAAAAGTGCTGAGGACTATTTCAACGGGAAGAATTTGATTGATATCAGGTTAGAAGAAATCAAGTTTATGCCTATCTTCTTTTCAAATAAATTTTAGATATATCGGCAATCCACTACTCCTTGATGGTTGTAAATTTGATATTCGATGCTATATGCTGGTAGCATGTACAATGCCTTATCTAGTTTTCTATCATCCTGGCTATATTCGGCGTTCAGCAAAGCCATACTCAAATCAAGATCAAAATCTTGTTACACACCTCACAACCAAGTAAGTTTTTGGATAAATATTTACTGTTATAAGTCTGTCTATGACAAATTAGATAGGATTGAAATTTAAATGTGTTTAGAAATCTATGTTGTTCTCCTCAAGTTCTATATTTTTGAAAATTATTTGACATTCCACAGATCAGAAACGAGCAACTGTTGTCATATTTTATAAAAAACCTACAGATACAGGAATATTACCACTGAGATAACATATGGATAACGTGTTATGAAGTGGCTGGTTAAAAATACTGAAATGAATACAATTGAAAGTAGAACCCTAAATCGCTCAGATTTTAAAATGCTTCTAAACTTACAATATGAAATAAATGACAATAAATAATGTCCTCTTTTTGATGCGCATCGCTCTAAAGTTGCAATCTGTCTGAGTTGATTGAATCGGTGCTCAGAAAAGATAAGTTTGGATTTCGCCGATGGCTTGTGTCTAATGTCACACAAACTCGAAGATCTACAGGTAAAAATTAACAAGTTGATAGAGGTGGCAGGGCAGCGAAGACGGGACTTCAAGTGAATGTGGAAAAAACAGAGGTGATGAAGATACTCAACCAACAACACCACCACCAAAAACAACAACAAGCTCCAATCACCATCAACGACAGAAACTTAAAGGAAATAGTCTCTTTCACCTATCTAGGCAGCACTGTTCCAACCACAGGTGGCGGAGTATCAGATGAGGAGATCAAAGCCGGGATCGGAAAGATAATAAGACAGGCGTTCATTAACTCCAAACCAGTGTGGAGATCTTCTGCACTCAGCTCAGCATGTGGAACAACATCCGGAGTTTCAACACCAATTCAGTCAAGTCAGTGCTTCTATGTGATGGATGGTTCACAAACTTGTCACTTTACGAAAAGCATTTCCAACAAACTACAAATATTCATCAACAACTGATGCCTACACTCATTCGGTACCGAAGATCACATGGCCAGAATAACAAGAACAAGCAACAAGCAACTCACTGTGGCTGGCAACGAACCAACCAAGAACCCATCACTCAAGAAATATGCACCGGGAGGAAGTGTAGATGGATTAGGCATACACTGAGAAGGCCGGCCGACTGGGGACATCAGGTGCTAGACACTCGAGTGGAACATGGGTTGGAAAAGATGAGTTTGGTGTGTGAGTTGATGGTGCATTGGAGGAGATGATGTGAGGGGGAAATGGGAGTTTGTGGTCAGTGGTGGAGCCAGGTTGAAAAGATTGTAGAGAGGAGAGTGCCGTGGAGACGTGGTACTGAATCCCTATGTTCCACTAGGAACTCAAGGGACAAATAATAATAATAACTATTGTTTATTAAACGAATAATCCTTATTCATTACCTAATTTGCGAAGACATTAACTTGATTTATTAGGTTTATTAAAAAAAAACAAATATACTTTATATGGCAATTTAATTTTTCATTTGCATGGGTTAACCAATCGCTTTTTATTCTAGTTCGTTCAAAAAAAGGATCCAAATTACGCTGAAGTTAAAAATAATACAGTTTGGAGTTGGAATCAGGTTAACGACTATTTTAATAAGCATTATCGAGAAGAGAAGAAGTTACCTGTCGACTGGGCTAAGACTGTACTCCAGGTGAGTTCGATATAGAGTGATTCTTTTGTTTATGTTATAATTATTTTAGGACTGGATGTAATACTTCGTACAATATATTGTTTACGTTAACCTTGTTATAGTTTACTGCTTATGATGTGTGCATAATGTTGTTATAAAAGTAAATGAAAAAATAAGCGCTTTTGCATGTAACGTTTTAGTAAACATATGATTTCTCCTAATTGATACTTTATGACGACTCAAAAAACATTACTATAAATTTTGTTAGTGAATGTAATCAAAAATCACCTTTTTTTTAAACTTTCATCATTTAGTGGAAAATTCAAAGAGTAATCCACCATGTGTTTACTACAGTGAAGAATAGATTAGCAGCCAGAATTGGATTTTTGAGCTTCTTGGCCTGGATTTCATGTTAGACGAAAATATGAAGGTAAGCCTGCAGTTGATATAAACTGTAAATCGAAAAAATGCCATATGAAGCAATTGCTTATTTGGTTATCGAGTGTGTGAGTTAAACACCTTATCTGAGTGCCTACTGTTGCATTTGGTTACATTAGGAGAAATTCTTCGAAATACTGATTTATTCAATAATTAGAGTAGTGCATAGCCTAAGTTGGTATTTCATCCGCAAAATTTCAGGTTTCTACATTTAATGCTTAAGTATCATGGTACGATGGGTTAGATAAATCTGCTTACAGAAGTGAGTGATAGAATTAGACAGTCGGTTTTATGCTTCTCTCGATGACTATGATAAAAGTTTATCATGCAATGAATAAATAGAATCTCCATTTTATAGTTTCCATCATTGCCTTGCGATGAACATCATGACAAAGTCTAAAATATGAGATCAGTGAGCATTTTCATAAATGGACAATATTGGATCATGCTAATTATTTCCATACCTAAAAGTGAATATGATCATTTAGGAAAACAGTACCTGGAAATCAGCACCAAATAATTACTCTTTTGTGAGTAGTTGTGAAAATGCTAATAGTTGAATGTTTATTGATCGATCTGTGTGATGAATTGTTTCCTTAACTTGTTGTTATCTTGTATGCTGAGTTTTTATTTGGCGTTTTCTTCAATCTTTCTCCTTCAGGGAAGTTATCACATCAGATCTACTACAGGCTGTCAACATGAAGTCCTAGACTTAGTTATACTAAAATATGAGTCATGTTAAGGTGATTTTACAGTAGCTGGTGACCATATTGTAAAATCATAAACACAAATCAGTCAGTAATTAAGACTAGAGAAAATGAAATTAAATGGGCTGTAGTGATCATTCAATTTAGACAATAAGTAGGTTGAGACATATGAGAAGTACGTTTGCATGAGATGTGGTTTCAGCAGTTATTGTTTTTCACTTTGAAAGTGGCGAACAGCCTTAAAATTCTTTTATTTTACCAACAAAAGGTAAGATGTTTCAGCCACTCATAGGAAACCTTTGTCATTTTAGTCACTAGGTCAGTTAATTACGCTTACTATAATGGTTTTATTTCTTATATAATGACGATTTTTCAATGCAGTAATTTCAATCTGATATGCTTTTGTGGAGGTTGAAAAGTACGCCTAAATCATAAACTTCAAGCTCCTTTGAATCACACTTATAAGACTAAACTAAGATATCTTAAATATTTCAAGTTGTTATCGTAGACTGACATCAGTTGGAAGAACAAAGGAACCTGGGAGCACTGGACAGCTGTTTCGTCCGACTAGTATGGGACTCCTCAGAAGTGCTCACCCACGACCCCACCAGCAGGGATCGAACCCGCGACCTTCAGGTTCCGCGGCCAGCGCGTTACCATTGAGCTAGCCACTGGGTCAGAATCCAATGCTCCATATTTCCAACTTCTGTTAGCTCACGAAGGTCGCGGTTCGATCCTTGCTGGTGGGGTCGTGGGTGCGCACTGCTGAGGAGTCCCATACTAGGACGAAACAGCTGTCCAGTGCTCCCAGGTTTCCTTTGTTCCTCCAACTGATGTCAGTCTACGATGAATAACAACTTGAAATAATTCCAAATCTCCACAACTCCCTCAAAATTTAATATCTTAAATAGATGGATTCGTACTGTTAACCATTTTCAAAATATTGTCAATGGCGACAGTTCAGTGATAAGATTAATATTTCTGTAACTCCGATTAAAACATTTAAAACTGACTACAGTGCTGAAAATTATTAGCTGGAATAGACAAATACAACGATACTCAGAGAAGATAATAAGTTCTGTTCTCTTTCTCTATAATTCAGTAGTGGTTATGTAAAGTTGAAACTATTCTGGTATAGGATGTAAATGTTAGACAAACACTGATATTTCCAGACAAGTTAATGCTCATTGCTTCCTTTTACTGACGCTTACCATTTCTGCATAATTAAGTACTTAAACTCCTTCAAAGACTTATGTATTCACAGGCACTGTCGATTATCTTTCCTTCATTTTAACAATAAAGGAAACCAATTTCCTCATACATTCTTCCCTATTAAGAAGAAACAATATTTCACACACGCTGTATCTTGAAAAGCCTTGAATTTTACGTTATTTGTTTCAATAGGTTTGGCTGCTTGAAATAAATTCGAATCCAGCATTGCAAACTCACTGTGATGTTCTGAAAGAAGTTGTACCAACTGTAGTAAAGGATGCTTTACGTAAGTCCCAGAACAGGTTTTCATTGAAGTTTACTTGGTATTTTAAGTAAAAGTTATACAAAGAGGTCTAATTAAATTATTTTATCAACAGTTGATTTCTTATGTTTGCTGAGAAACTAGTCTGAGGTATCCAGTAATACGTTAATGAAGTAATTTGCGTGACTGTGGATGCTTACTGTCTCAAAACACATAAATACTGTTAGGGAGGATTGTGGTGTTAATCGATACCAGTTGTTCTTTTTCTATGTCCTAATACTTACGTTTGCATAGTATGGCATTTAAAAATAAGCACGAATTCGAAAAAGGGTACCAATATAAATCAGATTAATTCAAACAGTTGCAAGCATCGATGAATGTATAAAGGTAAATTGGAATCCTAAATTATGAGGGTTAAGTGAAGGAAACTGTAGCCACCGAACACTTCCCTTCAATATTATTTCGTTGGAAATTGTAGTAGTAGCTGTTATTTATGATTGCGTAAACTTATAACTAAGATAGTTCAAGGTCATTTCTAAAGAAAGCACTTTCGTAAACTAGTATATATCAGTCAGATGAAATGAAAACATTATGCTGCAAAAATAAAGGTGTTAAGTATCACCAACACATAATATCAGTATTGACAGTATTTTCAAAACCACGGTAAAATTTCTGATCATTTAATCAGGTTTCACCGGAAGCTGAAGCCATAAGGCCACTGAAATGCAGGGAAGCAGCAGGTCAAAATGGAATTCCACCAAAAGCACTGAAAACAGACACAGATACATCAGCTGACATGCTCACACCACTAATGCAGAAAGTTTGCAAACAAGGAAGAAAAGGTAACTGCTGATGATTGGAAGAAGAGCTATCTTGTCAAAATCCTGAAAACGGAGACATAAGCCTTACCAAGAACTGGCGAGCAATCATGCTGCTGTCCATCCCAAGCAAAATACTATGCCACATCATCCTGGAGAGACTGAAAGATACGCTGGATTCAAAATTACCACCGGAACAGGCTGGCTGGCTGGCTGCTGGCTCCAGGAAGAACAAATCATGTGCAGATCAAATTGCCACACCTCACTACGCATCATCATAGAATAGAGTACAGAATGGCAGTCAACTCTCTACCTCAACTTCATCGATGTTGAAAAGACCTTCGACAACGTTGACCGAGAAGTAATTTGACAGGCAGCTGCTTCAACACCACGGAGTGCCACAAATCATGATCAACCTCACTCAACAGCTATAAAAATAAGAGACGCCACATGCCAAGTGATCCACAATGGAATGCTCAGTGACGCCTTCGAAGTGAAGACCGGAGTAAGACAAGACTGCCACCCACTTCACACATGATCTACCTGATTGTGGTCGACTGGATCATGCAGCAAACCACGAGGAGCAAGTGGATGGGCATACGCTGTTTGACCTATGCAAGAAACACCCAACACGATTTGGATTTTACCCGTGATGAATTATGTCTAATGTCTTGTCGCACAAACTCGAAGATCAACAGGCGAAAACTAACAAGTTGACAGAAGAGTTAGGGCAGCGTATACGGAACTTCAAGTGAATGTAGAGAAGATGGAGGTGATGAAGGTGCCCAACCAACCACAGTATCAACAACGAGAGGCGCTAATCACCATTAACGGGAGAAACCTAGAGGAAGTAGCCTCTTCCACCTACCTAAGGAGAATCGTTTCAACTACAGAGGGGGGCGGCACAGACGAGGATGTCAAAGCAGTCAGGATTGGAAAACCAAGACAGGCTTTCATTGATGTGAAATCAGTGTGGAGATCTTCTTCACTCAGCATGAAACATGAACAGGATCCTGATTTTCAACACTAATTCAGTCAAGTCAGTGCTGCTATATGGTTCAGGATGTTGGCGTGTCACGAAAAGCATTTCCAACAAACTATTGACATTCATCAACAGCTGCTGCCTACTCTTGTTACTGAAGCTCAGCTCAGATGTCCAGAAAGAATGATTAGCAAGGAAGTCACCCTGGCTGAGTAACGAACCAACCAAGAAGCTATCACTGAACAAATATTCACTGGAAGGAAGTGTAGATGGATTGGGCATGCACTGAGAAGACTGAGTGGGGACATCATGCTCCAGGTCATTCCGTCGAGTGGTACCCGGATGGGAGATGGCGAGTTGGGTGTCCGAGGCGAGTTTGGCATAGGGGATATTGTGTGAGGAAGAAATGAGAGCTTGTGAGCAGTGGTGGAGCCAGGTTGGAAAGACTGGAGAGATGACAGTGGAATGGATGGAGACGTGCTGCTGAATCCCTCTTATCCACTAGGAACTCAAGGGATAAATAATATTAATTAATAATGTATGAATTATTACGACAAAATTCCTTACTACCAATGTGCGTAAAGCTGATAATTCTATTGTAACCGCTTATCGTCTAACAAATTCATGTTCTGAAGAGTTTCAGTGTTTAGAAATCACTTCACCAATGTCTGCTGTCATTTTATATCTAGGAAAGTTCAGTGAGGATTGAAAATATCAAAGATCTAGTTTCAATCGTTTTTCATCATGAAACATTCGGAATGTGATGGAAAGTTTATTCTCTGTATTTGTTTTGAATTTATTTGAAGCATGTACATTTCTCACTCCTTGAGAAAGTCTACTGTTTATGTTTTCTTTATCAATAGTAAGATCTTAAGGTAGAAATATTTTTCGCTTTTCAACCCATAAATGTCAAAACATTACTGTTGCCATTTCTGAGTTATTCTAAACATTTTACCCACAATTGCGTCACTGTAGGGAAGACGCAAAATATACCATCAATAAGTTTGCATTGTATTCTTTTAAGTAGTAGGTAGGCAAAAACCAAAGGTGTTTAATCAAGACCTAATTTGATTATTATCCCTGAGTATCTGATGAGATTAGGATTTCAGAGTGCTTTTCAATTTAATATTAAACAACAAAAAGGGGAACGACAAGCAATTGTTGGGCAGTTGGTCTTATCCCTAACTTACCCACCAGCAAGTTTTAAGACAAAAAGCCAACAGACTCCCATAAGTCAATTTACTTTCTGAATCAGCGACATAAATTCGTGTGCAGGTTATTATCATAATACTTAACGGTTCACTCAAATGACATCCAGTACATAATTGGCAGTTTGATTCAATTTCAATTATCATTAGTTGACTTATTTTGCATTACAGTGAACATATTCTGCAACTAGAAGCTCCGTTAACGTTATTGGTTTTAAAAAGATTAGATAGAAAAGAGCACCCTTGAAAAGAATTAAAGTATTTCAGAATCTCTCTAAGTAATTTAGGTTAGCTTAAAAAGTTCACTGAAAGCATACTTGATGCATTAACTGTGGTAAATGTTATTTCGCCAATATTTTAACACCGAGACTGTCTTAGTATATAGAAAGAGGTATATAAATAGTTCTAAAACTTAATTGATATCTTCAACTTCCACTCAGTCATATACTGAATAGTCTATTAAACCACAAATTATATAATGGTGATACTGAGAGAACATACAATTTCATGTAGATGTTTGTTTGCATGATGTAACTTCAAGTGATAGACAACACACTGATTAACTCAACTTTACAGTTATATCGTCATACATTTCGTAAAATCAGTTGATGGAAACAGTTTCTAAAATGCAGCATCAAGAATTTTCACGACAAAATGTTTCTTAAGGTGTGAGTCCAGACTGTATATCAGGTACCTTGCCAAGTAGTGAAAACAGTTGCACTAACCCATCGTTTATTATTTTTCAAATACGTCAAACTGGATTACAAAAATTATAGACTAAACTGTTAGAAGATCATCTGAGCTTCTTTCACAGCTTTTATGTTTTCAGCAAGAAAAGTCTTACTCGTTCATTCAGTGTATATGTAAACTTTGAATATAACCGAATAACATGGTTACATTTTTATAAATCTATTTTTAGATATAAGCATTGAATGCTTTGAGAAAAGTCGTCATCAGAAGTGTTTACTTCCTCTCCATGGTCTTGAAGATTTATCAGCTTTCCTGTTTTGTCAACGAAGTAACAGATATGCAAGATTCAATTTTGATGAAACACCGATCACTAACAAAGTCAGTGGTGATTTAGGTTTACCATCAGGTTGGAATTTGATATACAGTGAATCACAAGCTGCTTTTCGTGCACGTTGGCCAATGTCTCAGTCATCTAGTCTTCGTGGTTGGATCCCACCAAGATACAAGCCATCAGTAAATCATAATGCTTCCAGCTGTCAACGGACGAATGATGGCTACAGTGAACAAAATGGAGGTGGTCGTGCACCACTTCAAGGATTTGGATCTACTGTCTCAGTGAAGGAAACCACACATTTGACAGCAGTGACTAATGACACTGAGGTTACATATGCTACAGGTGAACACACCACTTCACAAAATAACACAACTGGTAATTTGTCCTTTCCACGTGTATCTTTCCCAGAATATCGTACTTTTGAATACAGCCTGAGACGTTATCCAGTTGTGCCAAATACAACAAATAATGCTAGATTAGTCAGGAGGAGTACTGTCACTTCTCACTCATTCAAGAAGCCCAATCAACCTATAAACCTTGAAGATGTAATAGAGAAAACCTCTGAAATGGAATCACTTATCTCACTCAGTAAACCTAATAGACATAATATTACAGTGAATAGTAATAGTAGAAGTGATGGTGGTGGTAGTGGTAATGGTGAAAGTAGAAGTAACAGCTGTCATATATTAAGCTATAAAAACCGAATAACCAAACAACTATCATCAAATTCGAACAGTTCAAATACCAAGCACGAATTGGATGTCTTCAGTGAAGATGAAATTTTAACTGGAAAGTTAACAAAGAAACGAAATTGAATTTGGCAACGGTTCATAGAGAACCTGTACACATGGGTATGATACATTTAGTTACAAGTGCAGATATAGATAAAGTGTTCCATGATAAGAATAGCAATGGTAAATCAGGCGATAACAGCTGCAACATCTCTCATCAAAACCCACGTATGCCAAGAAATATAAGTACAAATTCAACAAGCCATTTGACACGAATCAATGGTACATCGCCCGGTCATATGCAAAACTATCAATCAAACCAAAGGAAATTAACTGAGCAACCTCGTGTTGGTTCAAATAAGTTGCACTTCACTGAGCCTAGACATTCAATACGATTAGTTGATGAAAGGAGGTATTTAGACAAGAAATTTAGAAGATTGCATTATGCTTCTGAAGACAGAGGCAGTTAGTGAAACTAACTCCAGGAAGAATAACAAAGAACTACGAAGTATGTTGATGATAGATTTTGAATGAGCCTACATGATGCTTTAAAACTTTGTAGATATTTTATTCATTTCATCCTACTTTTGATTTGGCATTGCTTTCCGTTTTATTTCGCTTTCAAGAAAAAAAATTCATGTTGAAAACCGCGTGTGTCTGCGCGTACCGCGCTTGCTTAGGATTTTTTTTTCTTTCCTCTTTTCTCACCACATTTTCGTCAAAGAAGTGAACGTTTGTCACATACGAACCATTCATTATCTTTTTTCGTGATTTTGTTTTTACATATTGTTATGATCAGTTGTTCCGGGTCAAAACAATGATAGTTCTGATAAGTCTACAGTGTACTTTTCCGTGCATTTGTAAACATGAAAACAAATTGTGATCATATATCTAGAGATTTGTGTTGTGTTGATTTTCGAACTTTTCTATTCACATTGTTTAATAATTCTCTTGTTAATAAATCATAGGTTCCGCTGTTATCAAGGCTGCTGATTGTCATGTGTTCGATGAATTTCTTCATAGAGTAAAACGATACAAATATATCACACTGTGTTCCACTTTCCGGATATACGCATAATTTTGTATGTGTCATATGAATAATTCAGCGGACAAATCATTTATTTATTGGTATGAATATTTATGCTTTTTCTCATTTGTTTCTGAGTTTGACTGTTATTTACTGACTAACAGTAATTTGATTCTCTCTGTTTTGACGATTACTAAAAAACTTTGCGCTTCATATCTTTTCTCACTGATATAAAACTGTGATTTGAATCTGAGATGATTAATTCCTTTTGCAGTGCTTTGTATCTCAAAAAAACGTCAAAAAACTAGCGCGCTATCAAAAAAGTTTATTAAACATGTGTACCTTTTTATTATCAATTTGACTCTCTGAGATAGAAGTGGCTTCATCGACTTGTAGTGATATTGGATGATGATTGAAGGTGAAACGAATGTTTGAGCCATGACAGGATTCGAGCAAGCGATCACCAGGTTTCTGCCGTGATGTTGTACCAACTGATCTACGAAACCCAGCTACTGACCAGATTGAAGTGAAATAAAAAGCTGGTCAGCAGTCGGGTTCCGTAGATCATTTAGTGAGGAGTCTCCGCAGAAACCCAGTGGTCGCTGGTTCGTATCCTGCTGAGGCCAAAATTTCCTTTTCACTTTCAGCCATTACCGAGTATAGTGTTTTATCTCTAGTATCATGCTGAAACTGCAGTATGTAGAAGAAGATAATCATGGAGAAATTCTGTTTCATACCACCTTGGAATGACTGAACGAAGAAATCGTCATCTGAATACTGATGCATACATCGGTAATAACAACAAGGTGACATTATTGATAGACCACATACGGCATCTAAACAATGGCTGGTTAAATCATATAACTTATTATTATAGATTAATCTCACCTGGTCGACTAGTTCACTAGTTACTAGCTGGTCCTAAGCACGGATTAATAAGGAGGATTGGGCATATGGCTAGGAACCCTACCCTGTAAAACCAATCCAATGGCTAAAGAAACTTCAAAGCACAAACAAAATACTCCCCTCGGGAATCGGGGGACGAAATGACGTCAGTTGGTGAAAGCCTTCGTGAAGCCAATTGGCTGATATGTCTTCTTTTCTCTCGATGAAAGCCAAAGTAAGAATGGGGACATGGAATGTCCGCACCATATATGAACCTTATTGGCAACGCTGCCCAGATTGCCAAGGAGATGAGGAAGTATGGCATGGAAGTGCTTAAAATCTGAGAAAGCTGATGGAATGGAAGTGGACTCTCCAAACTGTCCACTGGACAGTCAAAAATCTAATCTACTTCGATATTGTCACCCAGATGACAATCAAGAGCACACGGAGGGAGTGCCTAGCAGCATCGAAGGCTCTCATACAGTGGGAACCAATCTCCTCTAGGATCATAACAGCAAGGTTCAACTCAAAAGGAAGGAAGGTCAAAATCGCACAATGCTACGCACCTACAAATAATGCAGATGAAGAGAGGAAGGAGGAATTCTACAGGCAACTTCAATCAATACTGGACAAGACCTCAGAAGGCGACATCAAAATTCTAATGGGTGGGGTGACATGAATGCCAAACACAGGAAGAGAACTAACCATGGGTCGAGAAGAGCTCAGTGAAATGAACGAGAATGGAGAATTGTTTGCAAACTTCTGCGCATTCAACGATTTGGTTACCGGAGGCAGTGTTAAAGTACAACTATATTTTACAAAGCGACATGGATTTCATTTCACCAGAGATTATGACACACCAAAAATCAGACCGACTTCATTTCAGAGTGGAGAAAGTGAGGACGCAGCCTACTGATCACAAGATGAAGAAGGGGATGAGATGTAGGTTCATACCACACAATATCTAGTGCAAGGAACCTTCGAAATCAAGTTGAAAGCCTTCACAAAACTTGGTGATAGACGACCACAGTTCAAGTTCAATACCCAGAGCAAAAGCTGAAGGACTAACCCACAAAGCACATCTTCACGTCAGCTATCAGAAAAAAATGGGAGACATTAGGCAACATCCGTGAAGGAACCTGGCTGGAAAAACACTGGAAGTCTTTGAAAGCCATGTTAAAAGAAACCTGCATAACCGTGTTACGAAGGAAGAAGAAGCAAGATAAGGAATAAATCTCCATGGATACATGGAAGCTGATAGAGCAGGGACAGGAAGATGGCGAAGCAGAAGATGAACCAATGCAAGGATGCACAACAAAAAGAGTACAATGAATAAAACACTGGACAAAGAAGTGAAGATGAGTGCACGGAAAAACAAAAAGAACTTCTACGACACACTAATAAGTGAAGCAGAACAGGCTGCTGGTGGGAGAGACAGAGACCTGACAACACTATATCAAATAACCAGTTTACTATCTGGGAGGAGACCAACACAGATGACACCAATTAAATATAACGAAGGAAACTCAGTTTCTAGAGAGGAAAAACAAATGAAAAAATGAATTGACCATTTCAAAAAGCTCTTGAATAGATAACAAACACCATCTACAACTCGTTTAGAAATACCACCAGCAACGTCAGAACTACAAGTGAAAACAGGCCCTCCGACAAAGGCGGAAGTCCTGAATGCCATAAAAATTCTGAAATCCGGGAAAGCAGCAGGTCCAAATGGAATTTCACCAAAAGCACTGAAAACAGACACAGATACATCAGCTGACATGCTCACACCACTAATGCAGAAAGTTTGCAAACAAGGAAGAAAAGGTAACTGCTGATAGATTGGAAGAAGAGCTATCTTGTCAAAATCCTAAAAACGGAGACATAAGCCTTACCAAGAACTGGCGGGGAATCATGCTGCTGTCCATCCCAAGCGAAATACTATGCCACATCATCCTGGAGAGACTGAAAGATACGCTGGATTCAAAATTACCACCGGAACAGGCTGGCTGGCTGGCTGACTGGCTGGCTGGCTCCAGGAAGAACAAATCATGTGCAGATCAAATTGCCACACCTCACTACGCATCATCATAGAATAGAGCATAGAATGGCAGTCAACTCTCCACCTCAACTTCATCGATGTTGAAAAGACCTTCGACAACGTTGAACGAGAAGTAATTTGACAGGCAGCTGCTTCAACACCACGGAGTGCCACAAATCATGATCAACCTCACTCAACAGCTATAAAAATAAGAGACGCCACATGCCAAGTGATCCACAATGGAATGCTCAGTGACGCCTTCGAAGTGAAGACCGGAGTAAGACAAGACTGCCACCCACTTTCACACATGATCTACCTGATTGTGGTCGACTGGATCATGCAGCAAACCACGAGGAGCAAGTGGATGGGCATACGCTGTTTGACCTATGCAAGAAACACCCAACACGATTTGGATTTTACCCGTGATGAATTATGTCTAATGTCTTGTCGCACAAACTCGAAGATCAACAGGCGAAAACTAACAAGTTGACAGAAGAGTTAGGGCAGCGTGTACGGGACATCAAGTGAATGTAGAGAAGATGGAGGTGATGAAGGTGCCCAACCAACCACAGTATCAACAACGAGAGGCGCTAATCACCATTAACGGGAGAAACCTAGAGGAAGTAGCCTCTTCCACCTACCTAAGGAGAATCGTTTCAACTACAGCGGGGGGCGGCACAGAAGAGGATGTCAAAGCAGTCAGGATTGGAAAACCAAGACAGGCTTTCATTGATGTGAAATCAGTGTGGAGATCTTCTTCACTCAGCATGAAACATGAACAGGATCCTGATTTTCAACACTAATTCAGTCAAGTCAGTGCTGCTATATGGTTCAGGATGTTGGCGTATCACGAAAAGCATTTCCAACAAACTATTGACACTCATCAACAGCTGCCGCCTACTCTTGTTACTGAAGCTCAGCTCAGATATCCAGAAAGAATGAATAACAAGGAAGTCACCCTGGCTGAGTAACGAACCAACCAAGAATCTATCACTGAACAAATATTCACTGGAAGGAAGTGTAGATGGATTGGGCATGCACTGAGAAGACTGAGTGGGGACATCATGCTCCAGGTCATTCCGTCGAGTGGTACCCGGATGGGAGATGGCGAGTTGGGCGTTCGAGGCTAGTTTGACATGGAGGATATTGTGTGAGGAAGAAATGAGAGCTTGTGAGCAGTGATGGAGCCAGGTTGGAAAGACTGGAGCGAAGACAGTGGAAGGGAGACGTGCTGCTGAATCC